TCTGGAACTGTTTAGCTACCAGTGGAGCTGGTACATTGAACAGACCTGGATGTTGTATCTACCTCAGGATTGTTCAGTAGAAATCATTTCAAAGTGCAACGACCTCAAACCTATCAAAAAAAAAAGTGGAATTATGGTAAAAGTCCAGTGTCTGCAGTGACCTTTTTTCGGGGAAACATTGTCCAATATTAGTTGTGCTTTACACATACAGGGTACAAAATATGTGTAAATTTTGTTTATTTCAGAAAGCTCTTTTTGTGCACCAAATTGTCAGTGTTCATTTTAACTCTAATAATATATATCACACCTCAGGGAAAAGACAGACAAACAAAACAGTCCTAACATGGTAATTTAAAAGTGGTAATTAAGGCAGGGAAACCTGCCTACATGATATTATTAGCATTACTGAAAACTTCCTGTCCAGACATGGTCTGAGAGACTAATGTGCACGTGTCTTTGTTGCAGCTGGAGATGGAGGATGAAGACACTATTGATGTATTTCAGCAACAGACGGGAGGAGTCTGTTAAGTGGAAAGAGTCAACAATCTTTTGTTTTGTTTTTCTCCTTTTCAATTCAGTTTTCTTTTTCTATTAGGTTTTTCGACTGTGCTTCCCTAAATGAAAGACTTCACACATCAAAAAATAAAAATGATAATAATGATCATTTGGGGCCAAATACCAACTTTGAGATTAGGTAACTTAATGTTTTATTCACCAAAACCGATTTGAAATTCATAAGGACAGAGTACATCTCATATTATGGCTTGTAATGACGGGACCATTGTGGGGTTTTTGTGATGTTCAGCTGTTTGAGTAAGCTAAATGACATGTTTTCTTTTCTGTTTCTTGATATTTGTTTAATTTTTTTCCAGATAATGGTAAGAATTCATATTCAGGATGGACTTGACTATTTAAATATTCATGTACTTATGAGGAATGCTGCTGGGATAGTCAGTAGTGATCTGTTCATAGATGGGAAATTTTGTGACATTATTCTCATGTAGATTTTAGTCGAGTTTTTAAAAGAACATTTAGAAATAATCTGTCCATGCACAGTTTATCTTCAACAGGAGAAATACTTGTGTTTGGAAAGCGTCATTATGGATGGTTTACCTCAATACTGTTACCTTCAAAGTGGATTTATCTGACTGGTAGTACAGTAGTAAGGTTCTTGGACCAAAAATGCTAAATGAAAAGGTTTCTTTTTATAAAAGGATTTGACTAATATAAAAATGTAGATGTAAAAGTTATTGTAACTCAGTGGTTGGTGGTATTGCACAGCAGAAAACCGGTTGTTTTCATGTGTAAAGTTGATTTTATGCCTGTCCAGGACTTTAAAAGGGGAAAAACTCCTCACCTTTTATCAGAGACATTTTATCTCATCCAAGAATAAGTATTTCACTCATTGTATACATACATACATGACATGTTGCCAATTTGAATACGTTTGTAAAAAGTCTATCCAAACATTAACGTTGTTTTATGCTTGTGTGTTGATGGAACCTTTTTTGTTTTTGTTCATTTTCACCTGCGTTTCAAATTTAAACATTTTAGATTTGCATGGTGATGTTGGCAAATGTTTTTTCTTTAATTTTTTTTTTTGTCCTTATACTGTATACAATAAATATAGTTTGATACTCAGCTGTCTGAACCCCGTTGGCTTTTATTTGTGTCAGAGTACTGTAAAGCCTTTAGTTGCCAGTGCAGAGCGGGTGTAAAATATTTACATCTTTGGCATAAATGGGAACTCATTTAAAAAAGCGGGCAAAGAAACGTGCCTGATTTTCTAAATACAATGTTTTTTTGTTTTGTTTTGTTTTTTGTTTTTGTTTTTTTATGTTCTTCCTCATCAAACTACATGTGAAAATAAGTATCCTGGACACTGGTTATGATGGGAACTCAGGGGAAGTAAATGTTACGTTAGGTCATCGTAGTTGATTTAGTCTTCCTTTAAAGGGTTGTGGACATTTAGCTTTGTCTTAATCTGCTCCAGAGTAGGAAGCAATATACACTAGATGGCACCATTATCCTTACTATCTGTTGGTACTTGATTCAATCACTGCACCCTCCAGCGCCGTAAGTTAAAGTACAAAGACACATTTGTTTATCTGCTTGAGCCTTATGAAGGCTAGAACTTCATGAGTCTCCTTTTAAGAGAGCTTGATTTCACAGATGTTACTAAAATGAGCAGCCAAGTGAACTCCCTGTGAGATTCCTCACACACTGGCGTGATTGTGCTGCTTTTATTTTTGGCACCTCTTTTGCATTTTATATTTCCTCATGGACATATCTGAGGCCATCATACCACCCCCCAAGACTTTTCAGAAATGCAGCTGCAAGGTGCCGCCTCCACCCTTACATGCAACATCCTGCTGGCATCTAATGCACAGTCTTTGGAAGAATATTCAGCAATTTGTGTTAGGTAGAAAACTGAGGTGCTGTTTTGTGTTGATTAAATGAGTAAAAGAAAAATGATCAGTTGTTTATTTTAATTAAGCTTATGTTAATCACCTTTCTGCACATTCTATATCTACTAAAAATGAAACCATTATTTACTTGAAGGGGTAAGAATGAAACAGTCTTCCTCACTGTTTGTTTTTATTGCTGCTGTGTCACCGTCCGCTGTGTCAGGAACGCTTGTTATTTCAGCACACAACCTCATTTGTTTGACACTGCACTTAATCGACACACAGTGTTGTTGTCATTGTTTTAATGTTAAGTCATTGTTGAGCTCGTGTCATGTGCTGATCATTGTAAAGTAAGGGCTGTTCATTGTCTGAGATAATAGGTGGATTATCGAGTGAGCTGCACGTTTAGATTTATGTAGAGAAAAAGAAACAATTTTCAGAGAACAAATGCAAGATTCAAAGTTAAATTATGTTGACATTATTATCGTTGTTATTTATATTGCCATAAAAAAAAAAACCATGGAGCCCCAAAAGTCTGTAAAAGCATACAAAGAAAATATCTCAAACAAAATTACACCACCAGTTTGAACCGTTGATACAAGGCAGGATGGCTCCATGTTTTCACAGGTTTACACCAGATTCTGGTTCTACCATCCAACCATTAAAAGTTGCAGCAGAAATCAAGACCTATCAGACCAGGCAATGTTTTTCCAATCTTCTGTTGTCCAGTTTTGGTAAGTCTATGCAAAATACAGCATCATTTTCGTCTTAGCTTACAAGAGTAGCACCCGGTGTGGTCTTCTGCTACTGGTTCTACGTATTGTGTGTACAGAGATGCTCTTCTGCGTACCTTGGTTGTAATATTAGCTCAAAGCAGTCAAATCGTTCTCCTCTGACCTCAACATCAACAAGGCATTTTCACCTAAAGAACTGCCGCTCACTAGGCCGCCTGGCACTAATTCTGATGCTCAGTTTAAACTTCAGCAGATCACCTTGACCGTGTCAACATATCTAAATGCACTGAGCTGCCATATGACAAGCTATTTGTGTTATTGAGCAGTTGAATTGGTGTATGAAATAAATTTGTTGGTAAATTAGTATTTTCAGACATCAAAACGAGCATAAATGGCTTTTGAATAACAGAGCAAATTTTGCTCTTACAGAGCAAAATAACAATACTCAACTTTAAACACGTAATGAGCGAATGAGGTCAGTCAGCTGTGTTTTGCATCCTTGGTGTTTGCAGCCAAGTAACCTCATATATGACACCCTCCCCTACTCGGTCAGTCAAGCAGGCTGAATGAAAGCACTGTGCATCTGGAGAACCTCTGGATTTTCTCCAAAAGGTTGCATGCTGATGTCACCCAGTTGTGCGTCATGTGGTCTACACCCTGACTGCATCAGATTTCATTTTAAGCCATGTTGAAGATCCTAATATGTTTTTTTTTTTTAAACAGACTGGATCTGATAGGAACTTTCCAGTGGATGTTGACTGCCCTTCACCACTGAATATGTACTTAGTATAATACAGATATATGTTTATTACACAAATGTTAAGGTGTCACAACTGAGCAGACTGCTACTACTGTCACTGAATGTTGATCATCACATTTTACACTGAATCCAATGTTCAAGAGGTTCAAGAGTTAGTTTTTTAAAATGTAAGTTCATTGGGGGGAAAATGTTTGAAATAGCTGATAAACCGTTTTGATCAAGCTTATAGTTTGGGTTGGATGTTATGATCCTGAACCACCCCTTAGTCACATTGAGGGACTTTGCCTGAAGCACTGGGCACTTCTCCATCCATCCATTATTAACTTTACTCGCATCTTTGTTTAGCTGTCATTTGTCCCGTTTTTTAGAGGTCTCTCTTTTCCACCAATCAGTCACCACATATCTGCCCCACCCGGAGCCTGATTCTGCTGGAGATCTCTTCCTGTTAAAAGTTATAAGTTATAAGTTTGGTGTTGCTATCGAAAAGTACGCACAATTAAAAACACCTGTCTGTGTTTGTTGCTTTGACCGCAGTGATTGGTTCGCACATTTTCAGCCAATAAATATTGTCTAATAAGATGACTGTTCTGAGGGAAAAGGTCATTGTGTGCAATTTTTTTCCCTCAAATACAGTCATGGTCAAAATTTAGAAATAGGTGTAAATTAAAATAGACTTATCTCATTGTGATTACTTGCCTGGAGTTACTGATTTATTACACTCGTGTGCTGTTTTTGGAAAACATTGTTCAATATGATGACTGGTTAAGCTCAAAACTGATAATCACACATGTGTAGAAAACGCTTGACTAAGTCATTGTGACAGAGTTTGGCAGGATATTATTCTGTAACAAATTAACAAGTTTATCTACACAAAAAGTGAAAAACACACCGTGGGAAGGATGGATTCACTTCACAGAACCCCTGCACTCGCTCTTCGTTTGCATGAGGGCGTCCCTTGATTACTGGCCCCTGACTCTGGACTCAAAGTACCACAATGCAACACCGAGCATCTCCTTAGCTACGGCTTTGGGAGCTACGCCCCAAGAAGAAGTGGGAGGCTCGCCCCCCTGAAAGGACTCATTGTAAAAGAGGGATGAGAGTGTGCGCGCAGACTGCGAGTGTGTCCAAGTGTGTGTGAGCGTGTGGACACCCCCCTCCTCCTTAACTAGCTGGTCAGCAGTGGAGGGATTAGGAAAGCCAGACCCGCTCACTCACTCATTCACTCACTCAGTCACTACTAAGTAACAGATAGGGTTGCAGTAATCGTGAATCATGCTCGTCGTCATTACTACCGGCTGGGAGTGGAGCCGAAATTGTGCAAGATACGGATAACTGCATAGAAAAGGTCCGAGTGAGTAAGAGGAGTCACGTTTCCAGGTTTCTTCCCTTTGCCGTGAAAATGTTTCATCAGGGACTCCTCTGCCGTCGCCGCCGCTGGCGTTCGGACCCGTCGCATTATGTTACTTCCCTCACATGTGCTTTATGTTGAAGAAGAAGAAGTGATCTGGATAAACCTGCGAGGATCCTGCCAGGGCGACTGAGCAAAGCGAAGAGCGTGCGGATATTGCCCCTTTTTTTTTTTTATCGCCGTGCAAAGTTTTTTTGTTTAGTTTAGTTTTTTTCTCAAGTGGACTAAGAGGGGAAAAAGTTGGGGTTTCTGGTCAAAAGAGGAATCATGGGGAACGCAGGGAGCATGGACCACCACACTGATCTCAGGGGACACAACATGCCCCTGAAACTCCCCATGCCAGACGCAGGTGAACTGGAGGAGAGATTTGCGATCGTTTTGGTAAGAAAAAAGTCGTTTGCATCTGTCTTCTCTTTGTTCCCTCCATGCTCCGGTGCCCCGGGACGGGACAGCTGTGTGTGTAGGTTGGACCCTCTGTTTCTCGTCCTGCACGCCCCGATCCTCTCTTTGTTGCTCAGTTAAAAAAGTAATTCCAAACAGAAACGTTTGTTTATTTGCACAAGATCTGCATCTGTTCCTCTGATATGACGTTTTTTGAGCTTGGCAAAACTTTTAAACTTTGTTGTGTGTTTTTTTTTTAACCGTAATCAAAGTAGCGATGAAGTTGTAGCAGGACTGGGAATTTATTGATACCTTCTTTCTTTTTGATTCAACAAGTATCCGAGTCAGCTTTTACACTTTTTACCACATAGTCCTGAAATAGATCAGACGTTTTGGCCCTATAAATAAATAAATAAATTAAAAAAAAGATAAAATGTTAATATTGTAGCACTTCCACAAGTATATGCATGAGACACCTACAGTGGTAAGTTATTGAGTTTATTGCCATTTTCCCCCAACTTTATGAGTCCAGACACAAGCCCGCCATTAAAGCTTTAAGTGCCCGGCATGTCAGGTCCTTTGAAACATCTGTTACATCATAGGCAGGCAGTGGATCTGTCAACAGTTACCTTGCCTGGGCACCAACATAAAGAGTCCTCTATGCATAAACAGTTCTAAACAGTTGATCAAGATACTGACCGTGTTGCAGGGATTCAAAAAAGGTTTGTATATAATAGGTTTTGATTGGCCAGATGTGTGGAAAAACTGGACAATTTTATTTATTTAAGCCATCACAGAGTAACACATGACTTTCTGCTCTCCAGCTTTGTGGCCCAGTCAGTGAATCAAAACCTGCACAGAGGAACAGTGAGGTGAAATTTGAGAGCCGGCAAAATGTGGGTCAAACGTGATTGTCGCCTGGCCTCGCGCCCTCATACACATTAACTGCTTTAGGAGAAAGAATTTGACTTGAGCAAGCCGGTTCTTATCACTGCATCTTCGTGCACTCGTCACGGAGACGAGGAGAAGGTTTTTCTTTTGGGGTTTTTTTTTTTTTTTTTTCACTTGGTTCCGGGGCTTTTTTTTTCTTTAGTGGTGACGGGGCAGATCGTTTAGCCTGTAAGCACATCACAAAAAAGCAGTTTAGGTGGAAGTCAATTTGCTGTGCTGTGTTGGGGTGTGATTGCTGCTTGTCAGACACTGGTGAATCCCTTTCTATCCTGGAGGCAGCACGGAGAGAGAGGTTTGACGTCACACTGCTGAGGGATTTAGGCCCTTTTCTTAATCACATCTGCTACTAGAACCACCTACTTCCTACATTTTACAAGCATTAGGAATTCCCCTCTCAAATGAGAAATAGCAAAACAGTTGGGATCTAGAAAATTTAGTTTGTTGATTATAAAACTCATCATCATTACGCTTTCCAGGATACAAACCCCGCCCTAATCAAACTGTTTAAGTCTAAACTTTCTTAGGATGGCTATCTGAAACGCCCGTCCTCATACCATGTCAGGAACTCCCCCGCTGACTCCCCTCCTCTTCCTTGCTGCCAGCATGATGCCTCAGCTCTCGGTGGGATGGAAGCCCTCCAGCATTAAAAGAACTTAGTGCTATAATCACAGCATTTAGTGTTAGTTACTGCCGTTTAAACCCTAATGTGTCTCAGCTGTGGCTCATGGCAGTTGGCACTATCAAGTGGCACTACGTGACTCTGATCACCTCACTTCAGTTTGAGTGGCAAACGATTAGGATGATTCCCCTCGCTCTGCTTTGTGTCCTGACATAACAGAGGCCTTCAGAGCTGATCAAGATTTAAGTGGGCCATTTAGCCCCTTGTTAGTCACCCATAAAGTTTTATCAATCTGATTGGCTGGTTTCCCCTTATCAGTTATGTAAACTATAACTAAATGACTGCTTTTGGACATGATAATATATATAGTAGTCTTCTTGTTGCATATTGACACCAGATTGGTCAAATAATAGCTGCAGGACTGTTTACTTGCCACTTTTAATAGATTTGATCAACAGGCAAGCTTTGGATCACAGCAGGGAACCATTTGGATTAAAGGCTTGCACAGTATGTAACCACATTCAAGTGGTCCACAGCTTTGTATTTGTTTTTTTCTTTTTAATCAAGGACATATAGTTCTTTGCAATAGTCTTGAGTTGCCCCTCATTTCTTGATATTTTGTTAGGAAAATGGGAAATAGACACAGTGATTTATTAAAACGTGCAAACATGAAAGATTAAAAACAAAACATATAAGGCAAAAACAGAGTTTGTACTATTCTAATGAGGTTGACCATCACTTGTTGTAATTTCTTTATGTATTAGTCTTCAGGATTAGTTCTCCAGGCTTCTTGAAGGACATTCAAAGCTCTTCTTTGGATGCTGGTTGCCTTTCCTCATTGTCTCTGTCACTGCTTCAATAATGCTGAGGTGTTGGCTCTGAGGAGGTCAATCCATGACTGATACTGCTCCATCATTTATTTTTTCTATCCATTGTTCTGAGCTCCTCCATACATATGATGACACTTTGATCCAAAGATTACAAATTTTGATTCACCACTAAATAAGACCTCTTGCCACCGATTCTTAGTCCAGTTCTAGTGTAATTTTTCATAACTCAGCCTTTCCTCTGTTTTTTCTTCCTTTTGAGTATCTGCGTGAAAACCACCCTTTCATCCACCCTCCAAACTGTGTTATCTTTGGCATTTTTCATGAATTCAATTAAAGAAATGAGGACATATGCTTTTGCAACACACCGAGTGAAATAGCAGTTAATGTCCAGAGAAAAACTTTCAGCAAGCCTGGAGAACTGTTGCTCAAGAGCACTTAAAAATTACATGAAAGTCTAGCTCCTTGGAAGCAAAATATAAAGAGAAATGAAGGGTGACAAGAGTTTTGCACAGAACTACACTCTATTAAGATTTGCACGGTGTGTGATGTGAAAAGCTTTTCATATATGAACTCGTGACTCAAATCACCTGAGCAGACTGCATCTGTGCGTAACCACACATGTAAAATAAACCTAGTTTCTGCAGTAAAGATTTTGTGTAGCTGCACAAGTAATGTTGACTTGTGTTGTACAGGAACTGGTGTCACGGTGTTCTGTTAAACTACCCACTGAATGCTAGAAGATCCAGGAAGTCCAGGATCTTGGCACAGTCCACAAGATGAGTTAATGTGTCAATGCCATTAAATGGTCCTTCACTGGAGATTGTTTTAGCAAAAATGTTTCCAAGGTCAAGAATAAACTGTTAAGATCAATGCAAAATTCAGTGTTGTTAAAGTTTATCACCATATTATGTCTGTAGTTAATGATTTGTGTATATGTGCCAATCTAAATTATACTTAGAAGTCCCCACTTCTTGGCCGTTGTAATATCTTGTTGTTGTTTTTTTGTACTTATCGCATTTATCTCATTAAAATAGTTCAAAGTTTGTATTTAAGACCCAAAGAAATAATAGAAACTATAACCTTTGCCTGTGCTCAGTGAGCTAACCCTAACTTATAATGGTGTAGTTTTAACTGGCCTCAGCTCCTTCAAAGCTGTAGTAAGTTAAATTTCAACCCACCTTCCTTAGATATGGTTGTTTGCTCTCACTGTGTGTGATTGTCATACAAGTGGCTTACTTCTGGTGGAGTCTGCAGTTTCTACCAAATGAAAAGCTCCCAGTGAAGTGGCTCATTAGGCCAAGAACTGATCTCTGAAACAGACTTGAGCTAATAGTAATCTGAGGCCTCTGCTGTGATAGGACTGCCTGATTCACATGCAGCCTTGGCCTTCAGTCAGGAGGAGATTAAACCCAAATAATCTTTGTTTAGACGGCGCAGATTGTCATAGAGACATAAATAGGAATTTGTTTGTATGCCAAGGCTCTCTGCTTTCTACGACTCCTCATTGTTGCTGGTTCTTTTAAAGCATCTTTGCTCACTTGTTGTCGTAGTATTGGTAACATAAGTCAACCACAGATAAGTTCCACATGATTATGAGTGAGCCCTCTTGATGTCTAATCTACACGGCACAGTTCTGTCATGTCAGTGTGCTGCTGATCAGTTAACCATACACTTGCCAGATCCAGACAAAATTTCTGAACGGCATTTTTAACACATTTCTTGGCTTATAAGTGCACAATAGCTGAAAGCACGTGAAATGATTACAGTCAGTCTTTGGGAGTCACATGTACAGTATTAGTCAGTCTATATGCTTCACACTGAACCAAAGGAAAATGACTCTGTGTAACAGGAATGCAGCCAAGGCCTCATGTCTGCTCTTCTGCCTCAGCTAACCACAGAGTTGACAATCAAATTAGATTGCACCCACATCCAGGAGACCGTCGAGTTGAATCTCTGAGTATTGTGCCTGCTGTCATGGAGACAGAGAAGTTCAGAGTCATTACTTGTTTAAATGCCATATGGGGGGGGGACTGTAGCTTGGATGCTGTTGTTGCTCTTCTCAGTAGTCTGCCCAGATTACGTCTAAGCTGCTTTGTTTAAAGGCTGCGACGCACCACAATCTGCTGTTATTTCTGCTGTGAGGTACCGCATCTGAAATCTACTCCAGCAGATTAATCACAAGAGTAGCCCTCATGTTTAAATGAAGTCTAATCTGTCACATCGGCAGGTCCAGAGTGGGTTTTTACCTGGTAAATGCTTTCTTGTACTTCCCAGGGTAAGGTGTATCCAAAGTGCATTGGTGGTAATATGCAAATTGTGGCTTTTTGTTAGAATGTCATTCAAATGTGCGAAGACACTGAGCCCTGCATCTCTCACAGTGCTACATGAAACCCAGGAAGTGACTAAGCTAAACCTCTTAGGTTTTTCCACGTTGACTCTTCTTCATTAATAAAATAGAACAGTGGGTTTTGTCTGTGGTGCAGAGGATGAACAGTGGCTGAATCCCGTGCGTCAGGACCACCAGACAGAGCTGCTCTTTATTCTGTGTGAAGCCCAAGACGGAGCCTGGCACTGGACCCAGAGCCGGCAGGGCACGAGAG